ACATCCCTACTTACAATAATAATAAAAAATGGCGTCAGTTTCACGGTAGGAATTGACATAAATATTGCAAAAATATTTGATTTTCAATATTTTCTTCTCAAAAAGTACGTGTTTCCGCATATTGAAACTTTGTGTGTGTGCTTATAAAAATGTAATCTTTGCGTAAAAATACGTATCAACACCAAACTCGACGGACGTCAATGGAAAGTCGTACCCTCATTTTTTAAAACCTTAATCACAATAAACAAAAAACTAAGAAAAAAAATGAAATGAGCGAGCGTGTGCCCTTTTTCTTGTGACGCATAAACAACTGAGCGGTGCCACTCCAACGTCGCAACGCATTCACCCCTCCCGGTCTCATCTCGGTGGTTGCAAGACCGGTGCGGCGCCACAGCGCATCGTGTGACGCCACAGATATTTGTATGCAAGACGACGCAGCGACATCGCTCCGGCGCCGCATCGCATCGTGTGCCCCCGCTCTTAGTCTATTAGCCAATGAGTGTATTGGTCCAAGTGTAAAATTCACGATTAGTCATAATTTTTATGTAGACGATTATCTGTTAGGAGGTTCAAAGGTCGCAGATTTGTTACATCAGTGGCGTCAAGTGCTACTTTGCATTTGGCGAGGTATAATGTGCGCGAGTGGCAATCATATTCGTTGGAGATCCGAGTGCGTTCGGCCAACGTGTACCTACTGGGGCGTTTTGTGTGTATTTGGCGTTTGCGGCCAACACTCGCCGATACGAGTTGTGTATCGCCAGCAACGCAAAGGCAGGAATTTTCATTTTGAAAAACCCAAAATTAGGGGCTTTTTAGGTGCTAATTGGGTGCCAAGTTTAAAAATTAGGTGCTCTAAAATTTTCACCGCAACGAACTGTTGAAATTTGCGTTGCTAGCAAAACGTATAGCTAGCAATGCAATGAAGTTATCAGATATAGGATAAATATTAATAGCAAGGAATTAAGTGCTAATTACAGGACGAGGGGGCTGCACTCCCCGCAGCGCCGAAGCCGTTGCAGAAGTAACTATGTCAATATTCCTGCAACGCAAATTTCAACAGTTCGTTGCGGTGAAAATTTTAGAGCAACAAATTTTTAAACTCGGTACCTAATTAACACCTAAAAAGCCCGTAATTTGGGCTTTTTTTATAAAAGCAATATTAGTTCTATTCTGATTTTCAGAAAACCTGAATTTTGCTTCTGCTTTGTTCTGAATAACGACTTTATTTTTATTACTTGACTTTATTTGGATTAATAGCCTTTTTTTTATAGGATAAGGGTGACAAACGAGCATACAGTCCACCTGATGGTAAGTGGTTGCTGCGGCCCATAGACATCTACATCTATCCTCTATTACATATCAAAATGTTGATGCGTTGTCACCCGTGAGGACTAAGATGGAATGCCTCATTTCCAGTAAAAAGGGCCTCCGGCCACCTGCACTCACCAAGCGAAACGCAGAGGTAAACCTCTACTTCACCACTACTTCGCTGGTTTTCTGTGAGGTCGTGGTACCACCCCGGTTCGAGCCGGCCCATCCGTGCGACAGCAAAAGCTGCCGCGTGGCTCTACCACTGTTACAGCCTATACTTACAGCACCTAATTAGCACTTAATTCCTTGCTATTTATATTTATCGTATATTTAAAAACTTAATTGCGTTGCAAGCGATACGTTTTGCTAGCAATGCAAATTTTAACAGTTCGTTGCGGTGAAAATTTTTGAGCATGTAATTTTTAAACTTGGCACCTAATTAGCACCGCAAAAGCCCCTAATTTTGGGTTTTTCTAAATGCTGCGATTTCAGAGTACCTACCTAATGATAAATATCTTTTTTTTAATCACTCATCTCTGGTGCACATCTAAATAAAATTTCAAAGCGCTGTACAAGTATGTTGCAGCTGCCGCGATCGCCCTAACGTCCATCATCATCTATCTCAGAATGAAACACGTTAGTGCTAATGATCTTTCTAAAACTTTGGGCCTTAACTGGAAATATTATTATTATATTATTATATATTGTGTAGTTTTATGCTACTTACATATCATTTTACATTATTTTAAATTCATTTTTCCATTCTGTTTCGATTTTCTGCATTCACCTCAAAACTGTATATTTTACATCACCTTTATTTCCATAGGATCCTGTAACGATTTTAAACCATAAGAACACAATAACAAATCATTTCTACTTCGTATTTTCACATTATCAGCACTTTTAAATTGGTGTCAATGGAGTCTACCTTTTTCGATCTTTTATTTAGTTTTCCGTAACTCTGCAATTTCGGACTTTGTGCGCGCAGGTGCGCTACCTTTTTTCCTATATCAATAATATCTCATTTTTCACTTAAATCTTGCCGTTTTTCTATTACGAGCCTAAAACCAAAATTTGACATGTTTTGACATCGTTGTTTATCTGGTCGTCATGGCAATTATATTCAAATTTGCTACCGGTCTGTTATTTCTACTTCGATAATTCCACATAAATACTCTTTCCTCTTGGCCATTTACAAAAAATTTGCGTTTAATTTAAATAATTTTTCCGTTCTCTCTAGAAAGGTATAAAAGCCGAACAATCGGTGAAGAAATTCAGTCTTGCTTCAGTTCTCAAATTCGAAGCATCTCCTAAAGGCCTTATCCCGGGGCCGCACTGCCCCGGGATCCTGCAAGCCTCTGTCCTGCCTGAAGCCGCTGGATCCTACAAGCCTCTGCTCTGCCTGAAGTCGCCGAATCCGGCAAGCCTCTGCTCTGCCTGAAGTCGCCGAATCCGGCAAGCCTCTGCTCTGCCTGAAGTCGCCGAATCCTACAAGCCTCTGCTCTACCTGAAGTCGCCGGATCCTGCAAGCCTCTCTCCTGCCTGAAGTTGCCGGATCCTGCAAACCTCTGTCCCGCCTGACGTCGCCGGACCCTTCAGGCCTCTGTCCTGCCTGAAGTCGCTGAGGACCCTGCAAGCCCCTGTCTTGCCTGAAGTCACCGGAACTTGCAAACCTCCGCATTCACCCGAGGTCGTCGCCTAGAGACGGCCACGAAGTCGCCGGAACTTGCAAACCTCCGCATTCACCCGAGGTCGTCGCCTAGAGACGCCCACACCTTCACCTACGCTGCGCGTGCTCGTTCCAGGCGCTGAGAGGAGGCATCACCCATCTACATCCTCATACATCATTTTTTTTTTTATAAATCTGTAAATATCTTTTTTTTATGTTTTAAATAGATTATTTGTTTTGCCCTATTTTTGTTGTTTTTTGTTGTTGCTAGGTTAGGTTCCTTTTTTTTGTTTTTAATTGTCGCTTTACGACAATTGTCTTTAAAGGGATGTTTATGGAAAATTAAATATTATACATTTCATTTTCCATAAACATCCCTTTAAAGACAATTGTTAGCAAGAGTAAGATATTATCTGCAATATTACAAATCTTTGACCCACTTAGTCTCGTAACTCCATGCATAGTCCTGGTAAAAATCATCATGCAATACCTATGGATTGTAAAATGTTCCTGGGACGAACCCTGGAGAGACTTCCAGGACACATTATACTTTTATTAAACATTATTGAAATGCCTCTTTGGGTAACGAGCTGTTCTACTCTAAATGTGGAGCCACATATATTTACATACGTATCTGTAAAGGCTTATGGCGCCTGCGTCTATGTACACAGCATGTTAAGTAAAAGGCTCGGTAAGGGTACAATTACTTACTTCCAAGAGTAAGGTGTCTCCCATAACGCCTATCATTAAGCCACGTCTCGAATTGTGCGCCGCGCTCCTAGGCTCTATGATAATGCAATCACACAATTTACTACCAGTACTTTTTGGCGCGACTACTATCGTTCTCGGTAGGCAATGCAGTTTAAATCTAGTACTCAATTACCAAAAATCATAAATATCTACTTAATCAAGTTATCATTTAATACCAATTAAGCAAAATAATAATGCATTTGATACATTAATTTCCAAATATTCCAAATTCCTTAAATTACAACGTATAATGGCTTATACATTCCGATTCATAAACAACTCAAAACACGGATCTCTTAAATCGTTAGGACCCATAAGTTCTCAAGAACTCGCTAACTTTACGAATTAAAATTGCCCAACAACAATATTTCTATGAATATAAATTATTAAAAAATGGGTAAGCAGTTACCACATAAAAATAATATTAACTCATTGTCACCGTTCTTGGATTCAAATATTATACGTGTCTGGGGGCGGGGGGACTAAATAATTAATTTTATGATTATGACGTCAAACATTCCATTCTTACTCTTTGAAATGTGTCACATTAAACTATTTCATGCTGGCCCATAATTACTGTTGCCTTGCCTATTGGTGGCAAAAATTTTGCTCGAAAAATTACGCGACAATGCTTGAAATGTACGACAAAGACGAATACGACTCAGCCAGTCATTGGGAAACTTATCAGAGCAACGGGTTCACCAGAGATCTGGGTAATTTGCGTGTTTAGCTACAAGAGCCGTCCACTTAGAGCTAGTGTCAGACAAGACAAAGGATGCCTTCTTAACTGCGTTTAGCGATTTTATTGCTCGTAGTACCCCCCTACGAGCAATAAAATCGCCACGCAACGTCCTTTACATAACAACGAACTGGCGCTCAAATAATATCATTTTTTAATTTGTACCTTTTAGTTCCTAATTATATCAGTTTTTATAACATTACAGTAATTTGTTTAGTCCTACAACATTGAGAACGAAACAACTACTAAGAGTTACCCTTGAAATAAAGAATTGTCGTATAAATTGGCTGTCATGTGTCATTGAATGAAAGGCAATAAGTGTAAGTGGCTGCCGTCATGAAATGCAAAAGGTAGTACCGTACCGAGATTTTCGTTCGGAACGCAACCAGGGCCCCAACCCTTTTATTTTTGAACGTACTAGAGGCAGTAATTGTTCCCTCTGCTTCTTCGCAATTCATTTTTGGCGGACTAGAGACCACTTGCTTTGAAACAACTGAAGATGATATTACTCCAATAAAATAGCACAATTTTAAAACAACATTTATTTTACATACATTGAGTCGGATTCAAAATGCCTGAAACATACTGTTTACTTATTACTGTTTTTATGTATACACCAGTTATAGATTATTATTAAATTTATGGACAGTAAATAATATATTCTCTGCATGGTTTTGTGGAAATAATAAAATTATAAGCGCCTGTTATTTTTAGAATCACCTCGCAGTAAATACTACTATACACATAAATATTAAAAATTTATTTTTTAATCTTTAGGAATTTCAATAAGTAGGTATATTTTTAAAATTAAATTTGTTAAAAATATAGATTTTCAGTATATATTTAAAGGTAGGTATTAAGAGTAAATACATCGTAATCCACAGTCACAGTCTGTAACGAATACAATGTAGGGTGCTTACCTCGAATACGGCGTCTAAACAAAGTGTCCGAGAAATGCTAATACAAAATATGCCTATTAAACCGAAGTACTACAGAAAAATTGAGAGAAAATACTTTTTGTGCCTCTATAGAAAATAAACTAAGCGCTCTAGTTAAATGCCACCACTGTAGTATCTAGAGCGGGAAGTCACGGCTTGACAGCGCGGGCTCGCGGCCTAACACAGATAAAATATTACCAAAAATATTTGCAGTTGTTCTGCACTTTGAAATGAGTTACAAACGAAAGTTACTCGTCACCGTCCTCACATACGTATTGTGCGCAAGTACATTCACTTATCTACTATGAAGATGTATTAAAAAAGGAGGAATTGTTCAATACTATTTGGTTATTGGCAACGGACGTTACATTACCTACTAGTCAAGGATCTGATCACGCGAAACAACTAAAGTACGACACTACGCTATCCAAAGGTCCTGTTTCGAAGATGTCGAAATTAAATGTACCGTCGGATTGCTTATCGCTCCCGTACACCGAAATCGAGAAATAACTACATTGTTTACATAATAGTTTCCATTATTTGACATCGACACTGGCAGTATTTTATCTAAATATCGAAAAACATAGAAAATATGCTATATACTACTTTATACATATTACATGACTCACTTGTTATTGCGATTTCTTATATTGTACGAGGACAGCGGGGACCGGCTAGCAATACACATGTCACTCGACCCCGTTTGCGGAAATAAATAACACAATAATTTATTATAATGTATAGAACAAGCGCACGATGCCGCTTTTAAAAAAAAATACGTAAGCAATTTTTGTTAGGATACGCTAAAAACTTGGTTTCAAAAATAAGTGCATACGGCGTCATGCGTTTGTACGCTGCAATGAGATTCGCACGAAGAATGCCACAGTTCTTACAAATTTTAAACAAGGCTTTATGTAAATTCACTGTGTAATATATGCTCTTTACCATAATTCAAATGGGCGCCTATGAATTAATTCGCTGGCAGCATGTTTCTACGGTTACACGCGGATTTCTTGACAGGATGTTATTTTCTTTAGTTGAATATCGCAACTATATAATAAAATTAATCGTGGATTCATATAATTAAACACACAAATTTGTGCATTCAGCAACACTTGTGTCCATGAACAAAAACAAGAGTAGATATTATTCAAAAATCGCGCCAAGTTGCATTAGTTCAAGCTACGGCTTCGTCTTATAGGAGATCGCACACGCTTTCCAAGGGCACAGACATGATTAGAATGATAATATCTTAATATTGGCAACACAATAGTTAACACGAGAATACTTTTTCAACTTAGTCAAATAATCCGCGTCTAAGAAAACATAATTTGCATCCGACCAAAACTAAACAATAGAGCTGCAAGGATGAAAAAAAACCTCCAAACTTTAGCAGTCTACATTCATATAAATATATAATATATATATTTTGTAACTTTTGTATTTCACTTCGTTATCGCGTTATGCTAAATCTTACTTAAATAGCTACCAAATAGTTTTTTACTTTTTAAGTTACACGTAAGTATTTAAGATGCCGTGTTAATGTAACAAAGTAAATTCTATGTTGGGCCGAGCGATGCTGAGAGATCGCCCGATATTTCACTAAAGATTAATATAGCTGCCTATAAAAAGTTAACAGACTAACGATGATAAGGAAAATAATTTTACTAAAATCAATTTACACAAACCCAAAGGTAATAAAGTTGATGAAAGTTGTATCGTGCCGATTGTAAACCTACAAATAATGTTAGGCACGAACAAGATACAATGCATAAAATTAAACTTGGCCGGATTAATTGTTGTAAAAAAAATCTATTTATGTTTTAGCATTTTCGTCCTCATGGTAGTGTGGAGGAAAATTTCAGTTATTATTTTTGGCTTAGCGTAGAGTTAAATCTAGAATTTGTGATTTTAAAAATTATTATACTCGAAATAATAAACAAGACGAAAGAATTAAGAATAAAGGGCGACCTCTACAGGCATCTACAATTTGATACTTCGCCTACTTACATTAAAATTAAAACTTAACGAATAATACGAAAAGAAAAATACAATTTCATTAATTTATATATATTTAAAAAATAACGATAAAGTGTTACGATAAAGAACTCAAAATAGCGGTTGGGTTTTATAAGTTACGATGAGAAATATTTTAGCTTGCTTGTAATGACACATGAGTAGTTTGTGGGTCAGTATATTACATGGTAACATTAGAAGTATGGTGTTTCCGCCGGCAACACTTCAATATGGCACATTACGCAATTAGACTCCCGACTTCGACATTCTTATATTAAGGACCATACACGGTTTTAAGCTAAATAATAATATAACAATATTCGCTTTACGCCATGAAATCATTTTTACCGAGGACATAGGGTTGTCTGACACATAACTACTAGTTAATAGTAATAATAATTATTTCCTTTGCTCCAATTTGATATAATTTTTTAGACACGACAAAAATTACAAATGTCAAAAATGTTGCTGCCTTAATATAAAATAGTAACAGGAGATATTAGAATGTTTGTAAAGTATAATTATAAATTGATACTAAATATTTTATTTAATAAAATTATGTCCAATACATAAATATTTGTCTACCGATAACAATGACAATTTGACATTCATTTTAATTTTATATATATATATATATAAAAAAATACAGAAATAAATGACAAACTTCACCAGATTCAAAAAACTAAATAACAAAACGCAAATATATTAATTTAATAAATCTCTTGATTTGTAAGCATTTTACACAAAGGTAAGTACATAAACCATTCTTATAAACAAAATGTTTAATAATTATGTTAGAGCGATTCTGTTAGTTACATTTGTACTTAACGCTAACTCACCTTAAAATAAGCGGTAGAAAGATATATAATTAGAGCGATAATCCGAAAAAATACATTTTTATTCAAAAAAATAATAATGAAATACTGCTAAATGTGATATTCCCTCATATGGCCCGCATCACATACGGCGGCGTAGCTTCAATCTTTGGACCTTAAAATTACTCTAAAAGCTCCGTACACTTAATAACATTTAAATAACTAAGTTTAACCTACAGCCAAGCCTTTGCTATCTGTTATAGTTTTTAGTCAAAAAGGTTCGCCCTACAAGTAAATAGCTGCTAAAACATAAGTCATTCAATAAAACGTTTTGTTAATATTACAAAAGAAACTATTGAAACATTGGAAGACGTACATCCATAAAATTAAAACATAACTTAAAACTAACAATAGAACAAAAAAAAACAATAGGAAACTTATTAATCACATCATATAGTAATTATGTGATTTTCGAGAAAAGTATAGTGTAGAAAAAATATTTCTGTAATCAAAAATATACAGACATAACAATCTTTGCAAAAATAATATAAAATATAGTTGAAAACAAGCTAAAACGCTATATAAATCTATGAAAATGTATGTAGAAATATATTTTAAAAACCAAAAAAAAAATCTAAATTTGGCTATTTTGAGCATACACGCTTGCACACATTTAGGGTAAGTGATATGCATTAGGTTAAAAAATTATTAAAGTACATAAACGTAACTTGAAATAGACTTTAATACAATTTTAAATCTTGTGCTCGATCTAAAGAGAATAAAACAATACCATAACTAGCCTCCAACCACTGCACACCAATGATCCTTAATATAAATAACGGTATATATCCCGGCAAGACAATTTTCCGATCATGTTCCAAATTTAAACCCTCTTATAAGCTTAAATGACATAATTTTGAAGTATTATAATAATTATCTACAACTTGTACAACATTCTAAAAAAGAAATATTGTTTTTATATACCAAATATTTGAGTAAACGAATTTTGAATGCATTAAAAATTTAAATTTTTAGTCAAGACTTTTTTAAATTTATTAATAAATTAATTATTAGGATAAATCTAATAAAATATCTAGTATTACCAAATACATATTTTTTTTATGTGAAAATTATCAAAACATAGTAACCCGTGCAATGAAGCCTAACAATTGCTTAGAAATAATAACCAATTGGGTCAAATCGATTATAACCGTCACTGTCACACGATATTACTCCATTGATTAAATGAAAACAACCGTTCCATGGCAAGTCGTATCCTCATTACAGACACATTGTGAATTCAAAATCGGTAAAAAGTTGTCGCGCGGGCTGGACCGTTCGGAAACACCATGCGAACGACATGAGAGGGAAATCACAGTGACACTGACCGCGCATTAGAATGCGGAGCGTTTATACTAAAACACCGTTGTATGTAAACATGCAGTGTATACAATAATAATATAATCCGAGTGTAAATATTGCTGTGCCGTGTTCGTACATTGGTGTCTTTCGGTGGAGAGGCTATCGCGCGCCGGTATGGAGCCGGCGTCAGCGTTAACTTTGCTCTTCTCTTCACTTTTCTGAAAATAGTTGGTAAATATTGTAAAAATACCAACGTAAAATAGCACCATAAAGCTATTGTGTTTCATATGGTGAGTGTATAAACTGGAGACTCTTTTTACTGGAAATAAGGCATTCCATCTTAGTCAATTCTCAGGGTCCGTACAACGCATCTGCATTTTGATTCTTAATCTAGGATAAATGTAGATGTCTATAGGCCACAGCATCCACTTACCATAAGGTGAACTGTGTGTCCTATAAGACGAAGACGAAGTATTCCATCTTTAAACAATAAGTAAAAAGTAAAGATACAGCTTATACATCCCACTCCTGGGCACGGGCCTTCGCTTAAATCTGAGAGAGATTTAAACAATATTTTCAGTAAACAGTACGTGTATGTATACGTATGCGTGTAGGTGTGCATGTACGTGTGTGAGCGTGTGCATGCATGTGTACGTATGCGTGTGGGTGTGCGTGTGTGCACGCGTGTGCGCGCCTGTGTGCGTGTACGTATGCGTGTGCGTGTAAGTGACCGCGTATGTTTGCGTGTACATGAATGCGTGTACATGGACGCGTGCGTGTACGTATGCGTGTACATGAACGCGTATATTGTACATATGAGTGTATTTGAAAGCGTGTGCGTGCTGGTATGCGTGAGTGTGCGTGTACATGAACGCGTGCGTGTACATATGAGTGTACGTGAACGCGTTTGTGTGCGTATACGTGAACGCGTGTGTGCGTGTACATAACGTGTGCGTGTGCGTGTAGAGTACCGACCGGTGGTGCGTGCGGTTAGAGCAGCTCGTACTGGCGCAGGTGCATGCGCTGGATGATGTCGCGGCAGTCGTTGAACACGCGCTTTATGTTCTCCGTGTCCACGGCGCACGTGAAGTGCGGGTAGCAGTAGTGCTTGCCCTCGCCGCTCGCCGTGCTAATGCGCTGCGGACAAGTTTTTTATAACATGTATTTTAATCATTCACTACACCCTGAGCTCTAGTTGTCGTAAGGACGACTGCTGGTCATGATGTCAGGGTAAGCAAGTTGACAGTGTTCCACCGTCATGCCTCGGTAAGCACGAAAAGCCGTTCGTCCTTTATCTATCATCTGTTTTCGGTCATGTCGGATTGCCGTCCCATCGGACTATAAGAGTAAGGAAACAGAAAGTGCACCTGTGTTTGCGCACATACTTATGCAATATAATCCTGCCCTGCGCAGATGGCGAACTTCGGTCTGCAGGACATTATTATTGTGTAATGGTCATGAATTTATTGTATTGTCGTCAGTTCTTTAACACGTCTGCAAAATTTCAACTTATCCAGACAGATTTTTGTCTCAAACGGATATGTCAGCTCCATTATATCACATGGGGCTGACATATCCGTTTGAGACATTATTTTTTTTTTTAACCTGAAAATGAATTCTAATGATCACTTAGTTGCACCTAAAAGGAACAAATTGTGTAGTTTGTTTTCATAAAATCTCACATTGAAATGTTTAGAATTTATCAAACGGTGGCTCGAATCTCGATGAATATATTATTAAACAAGAATCCACCTGTGGCGTAGCAAGAGGGAGTGACGATAAGGAGACTATGACCCTAAGCGGCATATTAAAGACGGCAGCATTTAAGGAAATAAAATCTAGCTCCTCGCCTCTTTAAATGATGCATGTAAAAGTATCAAAATATCTCAAAAATACCTCTTGCTCATAGTTTCGATTAAATATACTGAACACTGTAGCATTGAAAGTTCTGAAAATAAAAACAATCTACAGACGCATACACTTGCCAAAGGCTGTGCGATAATTACATAACTGTATTAAATTGTTTTATTCATTTTTATTTTAAATAGAAAAATTAGAAGACATACATAGACTGATATAATATTTTAAGATGTAAGTAAAATGTCATTAGAGGGAACATAGAGAAATGAAACAAAAGATGGGCAGCAGTAACTTTCTTATAATAACTTACAATAACAAAATTTGCCCATAATGTGGCCAATATGATATTTTTAAGATACTTGCAAATAGGAAAGGGTGTTAAACCACTGGTGTGTACTAGGAGCTCATGACTTACGAGGAGTATTTTGGCAGAAACTTGACCATCTGGAGAAACTAGTTCGCCTTCCTTCGGGAACCCGTGCATTCTGGTCTCTCGCCAAGGCTGTCCAAGGGAATTTCTGTAAGCCATCACTACCATCCCTGCACAGGGAGGACGACTCACTGGCCCCAGACGCAAAAGACAAAGCCGACCTTTTAGGCTCCCTTTTTGCGTCCAACTCGACTCTTGATGACGGGAGGAAAACACCGCCGACCATCCCGCGGTGTGAGTGCTCCATGCCGGATGTGCGGTTCTCACAGCGCTCGGTTCGCAAAGCACTCTTCTCCCTGGACATCCAGAAGTCGAGTGGGCCTGACGGAATACCCCCAATTGTTCTGAGGACGTGTGCTCCGGAGCTGGCACCGGTCCTAACGCGTCTTTTCCGGTACTCCTACTCCCAAGGTGTAGTCCCGAATTCATGGAAGACAGCTTTTGTACACCCGATCCCTAAAAAAGGCGACCGCTCAGACCCGTCCAACTATAGGCCTATCGCGATCACCTCCTTGTTCTCCAAAATAATGGAATCAATTATTAACTGCCAGCTCATGCGGTACCTTGAGGATCACCAGCTGATTAGTGACCGCCAATACGGTTTTCGTCGGGGTCGATCAGCTGGTGATCTTCTGGTCTACCTGACCCATAGATGGGCAGAGGCAGTAGAGTTCAAGGGGGAGGCGTTGGCCGTTAGTTTGGACATTGCGAAGGCCTTCGATCGGGTTTGGCACAAAGCGCTTCTTTCGAAGCTCCCTTCCTATGGGCTTCCCGAGAAATTGTGCGATTGGATCACCAGCTTCCTTGCAGATCGCAGCATCAAGGTCGTTGTAGACGGTGCATGCTCCGACTACAAGCCTAATAGCGTTGGTGATAGCACACAAGGCTGTGTGCTATCACCAACGCTGTTTCTTCTGCATATCAATGATATGTTGCTAACTGGTAACATTCATTGCTATGCGGATGACAGCACTGGTGATGCTCTATACACCGGCCGTGCCAATATTTCTCGGGAAAACGTCGCCGAGTACCGGAACAAACTTGAAGTCGAGCCTTTGCTGAACAAAGTCTCGGATTGGGGGCGACTAAATCTAGTCCAGTTTAATCCTCAGAAGACACAAGTTTGCGCGTTTACCGCTAAAAAGAACCCCTTTGTCGTATCTCCTCAGTTTCAAGGCACTCCCCTTCTTGCCTCAGCCAGTATTGGAATCCCCGGAGTCGACATATCGAGTGACGTGTAGTTTCTTGGTCACATGGAAGAGAAGGCCAAATTGTTCTCTAAAAAGCTTGGCGTGCTCAGCAGAGCGGGACAGTATTTCATGCCGGGACACCGCCTGCAACTTTACAAGGCGCAGGTTCGGCCTCACATGGAATACTGTTCCCATCTCTGGGCAGGGGCTCCCCAGTGCCAGCTCCTTCCACTTGACCGCATCCAGCGCAGAGCGGCTCGAATCGTCGACGACCGAGTCCTTTCCGATCGGCTCGATTCATTGGCACTGCGAAGAGATTTTGCATCCCTTTGCGTTTTCTTTCGCATCTACCACGGGGAGTGCTCTGAGTAATTGTTCGGATTAATCCCAGCCCCCAAATTTCACGAACGCACATCGCGGCAGAACTCCCGATACCATCCACACCATCTGGATGATTGGCGGTCCACCACTGTGCGATTTAGAAGATGATTTCTTCCTCGCACGACTTCATTATGGAATCGATTACCATCAAGGTTTTTCCCGGACCGATACGACTTAGGGACCTTCAAGAAAAGAGCGTACTCCTTTTTAAAAGGCCGGCAACGCATCTGCGATTCCCTCCCTGGTGTTGCAGCTGGTTCATGGGCGGCGGTAGTCACTTACCATCAGGTGAGCCGCATGCTCGTTTGCCCCCTCCTATAAAAAAAAACGCGTCTTAAGAACTTGAGATACTGTAGTAATCGAAGAACTTCTCAATGTGACGCATCAGCATATTGTGAAGAAGTTAACATAAATATTTATTATATTGGATAATTTCTTATTGTGACACTTACAAAAATTATGTCCACGACCGTACAAAAAAGGAAGTGTTGTGTATACAAGTGGTGTGCAACAGAAGCGTATGACTTACGGGGAACTCGTCGCGTATACATATGTGTCTTTTTTAGTGTCGCTTTTTTATTTCATCGAGTTTTCACATCACAACGATTCTAAAAGAAGCTACTTTCTTACACTTTAAAAAGAAGGGGCGGTACAGCAGTAGTGTGGCACCAGGAGCGCATGACTTACGAGGAACTCGTCGCGGATGAAGTACTTGGCGCGCGCCACTTCGGGGTGGTCCCTGGCGTCGGGCAGCGCGTCGGGCGGCGTCTGGTAGCGCGCGAACTCCGCGAAGTACTCCTCCAGCCGGGACTTGCCCGCGAGCACCTTCTCCGCGAGCAAGTCCTGCTTGTTCAGAAACAGGATCACTGATATCGTGCGCAGCCATCTGTCGAGGGATATTATATTCATTTTAATGCGTTTTATCAAGGTTTTAGCAGACTTCCAAAAAGGAGGTTCTGTATGATTATTGAAGTAAGCTTAAATTGTACGATCCTTTGGTTTTTTTATAGGATAAGGGTGACAAACGAGCACACAGACATCTACATCTATTTTCGATTACGAATCAAAATGCAGATGCGTTGTCCCGTGAGGACAAGTTGGAATGCCTCGTTTCTGCTATTTTACGCTGCTGTTCTGTGAGAACGTGGTCCTTCCCAGGTCAAGCCGACCCATTTGTGCTACAACTATACCAGTAATATAGCTGCAGCATGGCTCTACGGGCAAAACGTTGATACGTACGAACTATCAAACTACTGCGAAACACTACTACGTACGAAACAAACGAACTGCATACCTTGTTCGCATGCAAACTTTTTAATTAAATGAGTGATAGCACTGAAGCGGATACATTCCTTAATAGTAATATTACATTAAAGCGAATTTTGGCGACAGTTTCTTATGTGACGACAGATTTATGTGTAAACTACATTTATAAATGTATTTACTGTTGATAATAAAGTGCCTGAAAAAGTGCGAGTAATAAGGAATAATTATTTTTATAAACATTTCAATATTTATATAGTTTTTTAAGGTTAATTTCATATACAATAGCCTTTTTCAAGATAATATATTATTAATGTTGCTTATTACCAAGGTGAGATGTCAGAGATGTTACACATCATATGGACTACTGTAAGGCTCGCTCGTTTTTTCATACTACGTTAAGTTAAAGAATTGTTGCCTGGCTTTTTCGCAATCTGTCTCAGCACGCGACTCTACCCTTTTATTTTTTAATCTACATGTAAAAATTTAATAATGGTTAATTACTACATAAATGTATAAAAACCATTGATTGTACATAGCTATTATTCCTAAAAACAATAAAATAAAACATATTTAACGCGTATATTTGTGGCGATGATTTCTCAGAAACGCCTGAACCGATTCAAATTATTCGTTATTTAATTAAATACGCTATACTTCAAGCGTAGTAGACGATAGTCTAGTTACCTAGAGCTTGTGATATTGCTTAATTCCCTCACGAGGTAAAATATTTTTTATAGCCCTTTTAATAAAATGTAAAAATTCACTTTAAAACAAAACAAAAAATATCCACATAACAGTTTCTGAAGTCGGGGGTGTTAATCCTTCGCACCGACACTATTATATCGAATTTACTAAGTATATTATGTTCACTAAGATAGTGTCGGTACACCTGGAGGTGCAATTATTAAGTGGCGAAGCTTGCGAAGTCAGTTATTGATTTCAACGATGTCTGTCCGTCTGTCCCACGATTATCTCGAGAACGGTTTTGAATTTTCAAATTCTGTTTTCAGCAATCGATTACTGATCACTCAGGCATCTTAACCTCCTATTTTGAAACTGATTGCTCAACGGCAACCGTTAGAAACCGCTACAAAGCTGATTGCTTCGCCACTTTGCTATGCTGTTAGCTTGCTAGGTTTATTATTTTATTATTTTTTACTGTTTGTAAAATATTTTTTCTATTCCAAGAATAAAATACGAATATAAATAATAAACACTAGGTAGCAAAGAGAATTTAAATGAAACTGTGAGTAGGTAGGTAAACATGAACGAAAGTAAAATAAGACACTATTTCATTACTCGAAGTGTCGGAGTCATCGCCACCCGTATTTATAATAAGGTATCCACCGCCATCACTTTCTGAATCCATACTAAAATAGTTTATTTTGTTATTGGTTCACTCAATATTTAATCTTAATCTTCACTGTCTTCCCAAGGACGAAAAAATATTTCTGTATACGTATCAGTCAACAAAAACAACCTACGACGTTTCGTTTTAAAATCGTCTTTGATGTTGCGGCAGCGCCTTTGAGAAGATGCGGCACGTGCGCGACACAAAGGCGTTTATTAGTTTTAATTTAAGAAATCTGTTTTTAATTTTTAGCTGCAGTGTGAATAGTTCGGTATAATGTGGTGTGTGGTGCTTACTTCATCTTCTAAATGTCAATCTCATTCACACTCAATGCATAAGATTCTGCCAACCTATTATAGGCGGGAAATTTGCAAGAACATTTTGAACACAAATTCCACAGATTAGTGACAGGGAACAGCATTATTAGCTATGGCCCAGCAGTGGATTCTTTACACTCGTTGATCAAAGACATAAGAACATAAGAACGTACATAAGAAGTGACGCCGAAACCATGCTAAATTTATTGTAAGAAACACAAATTCACTTGCACATAGTGTGCACCTAAAACTATATAGGTTGTAAATGATTTTAGGCTACTTTTTCAACCGATTTCAAAAAAGAGGAGGTTCTCAATTCGACTGTATTTTGTAGGTGAATCGATTTTGATGATTCTTTTTTTATTTGAAACATTACATACATTACGTATTACATACATTACATTACATATACATTTGATCAAGATCTAACCGGTAGTTTTTGACTTATCTTTAATAATGCGTATTTAATCGACTTCGATTATATTGATGATGTTCTCATTTTATTTATATTGAAGTCGGTTGTATAAAATTTTCAATTTTATCACTTGTTTTAGGACAATATAGGTTTGGTCTGGAATTTTAATTCAGATTCATAGAAAAGTATCCAAGAACACTAAATATAAGGCTACGCAATCGTCTAGAAAATTAATTTGAAAAATAAAGTCCCACTGGGTATTGGCTTCTGGCTTCTCCCTAGGCTTTTGTCCTACAAAGATTTTTTCCGAACCAGTGGTAAAAGAAAAAATTACTTTCAATATGGATTATTTGTAATCTATATAGAAAAAATAATTCTATTCAATTCTAAAACAAAAAATAAAAAGAATTGTAGAGAGGAAAGTGACAGAAACCTGTTGTTCCATATGCTTTTGAAGAGGTCGAGCGACTCTCTGAGACGGTTCTGCGTGGGGTCCTCGCGCAACACCATGTTGTAGGACGAGCAGGCCGTCACGAAGATGATGGCGGTCACGTCGTTGAAGCACTGGATCCACTTGCGTCGCTCGTCCCTCTGCCCGCCCACATCGAACATACTGCACGCAAAAACATACACCTTTGAATATCGACTTCTGCCATTAGTATGTTGGCAGTACATTAGTTAGGTATTGCCTCGTTAGTCAAGTAGTTGTAAGCGCGACAGTTGATTAGTTATCCCGGTTTCGAATCCCAGATCGGGCCGAAATCAGTTATTGGGTTTTGTCCGCCACAATATTTTCAAAAGCAGCCCGGAGTTAAGTAGTTGGTGGTATCTCTCCACCGTGCCTCTGTAAGCACGTAAAGCCGTTTTCGTTTGTATTACGCCTGATCTCTATCCGGTTGTGTTGGATTGTCGTCCCATTGGACATCACATCGCACACACTTGTGCACTATTATCCTCCCATTATTATTTCAATTCATTTCACTTGCTTACTTTATTAAAGCTCTATGGTATAAAACGACATTAAGAATATTCAATATAACTCAAAATCATGTGCACGAATAAACTTACTGGAAATTGACTTTGTCGACGACAAACTGCGTCTCGAAAATCCCTGAGGTGAGAACACGACAGCGCAGGATGTCCTGCTCCGTGGGCGTGTAGTCCGGCTGCTTGATTATATGCACCTGGTCCAGGAAGCTGCGGACACAGATAACCTCGCATGAAACAACTGCTACATTGTCGGGTCTTAGCTCCATAGTCCAGTGGTTCCCGAACTGTGCGTCACGATTCGATCGACGAGGAGTAATCAAGTAACAAGAGATAGCAAAAACAGGTCTCCCCAAAGAGTAATGTATATCACCATGATTATCATCACCAACAGTCCATTGCTGAATATAGATCTTTCCAAGAAGGCCCTAGTATAGCTAGGCATTACTTTACCGTTTACCCATACTCGTCTTGCCGGGGTAAAGTTAACTCCTTAACAACTTACAAGTTCAACATTTTAGGATGGAGTTTTTACCATCATTCAATTACCTCACATCTATGAATAAGTGTAAAAGTTGGTATTGTGAGAAAAGTAGTAGCATTAACTTAAAAAAATGATGGAATATTCAACCTTATTTAAATATGGTAATTTGGTACTGTTATTCCATGCACCTGTGTTGATAAATGTTACTTATTATCACCAAATCATAGTAAACTGTGAATATGACTGACGATTTGCTTGGTTAGCGAGTTGGTGATCGCAATACAAAAACTCACAACACTCATACTAAAAATAAATGAGAGCAGCAATGCTGCGGGATGATATAGGATATTGGATACGATTACAACACTTTACGACAAAAGATCTGCATGTTTAAAAAAAAAAAAGTATGATTCTAAATTCTTTGAATAACAACATAGTAGATCTGCTTACACCACCACCACTTTACGGCAACAGTTCTGCATGTTTAATAAATCTAAAATATGATTCTATATTCTTTGAATAAAAAGTAATTTTAGTTTCTGCTAGAGCTACAACCAGTTATTCTTGTTTTAGATGGTGGTCGCTAAAAAATTACAACCTGTAAAAGGACTGGCAGTAAAAGTAAAAGATTGAGAGCTTAGCAGCTAGCTTTAATAGTAGCTAACCCTAACCTAAAGATAACCCTGAATAACAATCCTCATTGCCACTTAATGTGTACCTATAATGGCTACAGCAAGAATGGGTTGTCGTGGGCGGGAGAGGTCTAAGATTTGAAGGTCAGCCCACAAAATCGAAGTAAAATAATGGTTTTTTTTTATAGGAGAGAGGGCAAATGAGCATGCGGCTCACCTGATGGTAAGTTACTACCGCCGCCCATGAACAAATGCAACACCAGAGGGATTGCAGATGCGTTGCCGGCCTTTTAAAAAGGAATAGGCTCCTTTCTTGAAGGTCCCTAAGTAGTATAGGTCCGGAAAAATCGCTGGTGGTAATCGATTCCACAAGGAAATTGTGCGAGGAAGAAAACTTCTTCTAAATCGCACAGTGGTGGACCGCGAATCATCCAGATGGTATGGATGGTATCGAGATTTGTCACGATGTGCGATGGTGAAATTAAGCGCCTGGAATTAGTCCGAACAATTCCTCAGAGCACTCCCCGTGATAGATAAGATAAAATACGCAAAGAGATGCAACATCTCTTCGCAGTGCCAGTGAGTCAAGCCGATCGAAAAGAACTCGGTCGTCCACGATTCGAACCGCTCTGCGTTGGATGCGATCAAGTGGAAGGAGCTGGCACTGGGGTGCCCCGGCCCAGAGATGGGAACAGTATGCAATGTGAGGCCGAACTTGCGCCTTATATTATAAAGTTGCAGGCGGTGTGCCGGCATGAAATACTGTCCGCTCTGCTGATCACGCCAAACTTTTTAGAGGCGAATTTGGCCTTCTCCTCCAAGTGACCACGAAACTGCACATCACTCGATATGTCGACACCGAGGATTCCGATACTGACTGAGACAACAAGGGGAGTGCCTTGAAACTGAGGAGATACGACAAAGGAGTTTACGAGAGAGAGACTTTTTAGCGGTAAACGCGCAAACTTGTTTCTTCTGGGGATTGAACTGGACTAGATTTAGTCGCCCCCAATCTGAGACTTTGTTCAACAAAGTCTCGACTTCAGACACAAATTTGTTCCGGTACTCGGCGACGTTTTCCCGAGAAATATTGGTACGGCCGGTGTATAAAGCATCATCAGTGCTGTCGTCTGCATAGCAAGGAATGTTACCGGTTCGGAACATATAATTGATATGCAGAAGAAACAGCGTTGGTGATAGCATGCAGCCTTGTGGAACACCAGTGTTAATGGGCTTGTTATCGGAGCTTGCACCGTCTACTACGACCTTGATGCTCCGATCTGCAAGAAAACTGGTGATCCAATTGCACAATTTCTCGGGAAGCCCATACGAAGGCAGCTTCGAAAGAAGGTCTTTGTGCCAAACCCGATCAAAGGTCTTCGCTATGTCCAAACGAACGGCCATCGCCTCCCCCCTGGACTTCACTGCCTCCGCCCATCTATGAATTAGGAGAACTTAGAAGATCACCAGCTGAGCGATCTCGACGGAAACCGTACTGGCGGTCACCAATCAGCTGGTGGTCTCAAGGTACATGATCTGGCAGTTAATAATAATTTCCCTTACTTTGGAGAACAAGGAGGTGATAACGATATGCCTGCAGTTGGACGGATCTAAGCGGTCGCATTTTTTAGGGATCGGGTGCACCAAAGCTGTCTTCCATGAGTTCGGGACTACGCCTAGGGAGCAGGGGTACCGGAAAAGACGCGTTAAAACCGGTGCCAACTTCGAAACACACGTCTTCAGCACAATAGGAGGGACTTCATCAGGCCCACTCGACTTGTTGACATCCAGGGAGAGGAGTGCTTTACGCACCGAGCGCTGTGTAAACAGCACTTCCTGCATGGAGCACTCACACTGCGGGATGGTCGGCGGTGTGTTCCCCCCGTCATCTAGAGTCGAGTTGGAAGCAAAAAGAGAGCCTAGCAGATCGGCTTTCTCCTTTGCGTCATGGGGCAATGAGTCGTCCACCCTGTGCAGAGATGGCAGAGATGGTTGACAGAAGTTCTCTTGGACATAGTTGGCGGGAGATCAGAATGCACGTGTTCCCGAAGGGAGGCGAACTAGTTTCTCGCCAATTCTGCCGATGTGCTCTGACTTTGCCTCGGCAATGACACTTTTAAAGGACCTGGAGGCGGAATTATACTTCTTTTTAAGAGTGCTGATGTTTACATCCCGGGACGTTGATGCGTCAGCCTAGGCCCGGTAGCACTCCTGCTTATAGCGTGATGCAATTTTACAGGAGTGACCAAACCATGGCTGAGTTCAGCCTCCGATAGGCACCACAGATGATGGAATAAAAAATTGTATTTCCTGAAGTACCACATCAGTGACAGAATCAGCAACAAGGTTGGGATTATCCGGCGAGAAGCAAACCTGCCCCCAAGGGTAGGATGCAAAAAAAGACTGCATCCCGTCCCTATTGTAGTGCCAAACACGGCGGCAAGCTGCAGATCGCAACTGCGATGGGAGCGTGAGTGGCACCGTACTCCGGATCAGACAATGGTCCGAAGAGCCAAGGGGGCGTCGACGGAGACCTAATATCCGTCCCGATGACAGGTCAGCGGAAGGTCCAACAGGGAAGGTACATGATCCTCCACATTTGGGATCTGCGTAGGCGAAGTAACCAGTTGTGTCAGACCATATGCCAAGGCAAAGTCATAAACAGATCTACCCGTATGATCGGTTAAACGGGAACCAAGCCATTCAACTTGGTGGGCTTTAAAATCACCGAGGATCACGATCTCTGCGGATGGGACATATTGTAGCACGGAGTCTGCAGCCATTTGGACATGGTCGATGAGTCGGTCTGTGTCGGCATTACCGCTATGGGACCTATAGAGGCACCCGAAAACGCGGGGATGGTCGTCGCTGTCTATGCGCAGCCATAGGATGAACAGGTCCTTCAAGACTGCCGAGGCGTCGAAAACAGATGTCCTCTCTGACGTACACGCAAACTCCAGCCCTGAGCACAAAGGAGTGTTCTAATTTGTACCCCGGGTAGGAGAGATACGAAGTATCAGCCGGAGAGGACACCGTGTCTCGGTTAGAAAGAGCCAGGCCGGCTTTGCTGTCTCCAGATTGTAGTGGACGGTGTTAAGGATTGAATGAAGTCCCCTTATATTGTAGATATTCACGGAAAGCGTGGCAGGGGTGGCCTTTGTCTTATTGCTCTACTTGCTCGAGCAGGTTTCGTCTTGAGCAGAATTTCGACCCCCCTCCACCCTTAATAGTCCATCAGAGAAAAATTTTAAGAAATAAACATACTAACTTTGGCATCGCAATATATTTATGAGAATGTAATGTATGTGCATAAAAACATAAATAGCTTTAATAAGAATATGGATGTGCATACTTTAAACACTTGGAACAAACATAAGCTTGTAATGCCAGTTACTAGACTCCACAGAATCAGTAATTCATTTATGGGGCAATGTATACGCTTTTACAACAAAATCCCAGAACATATTCAAAGTTTGTCAATAAACAAGTTTAAAAGTTTTATTAAAGAAAAACTGTACAAAAAGGGTTATTATAATATCAAGGAATACATGAATGAAAATAACCCCTGGGAATAAGGTGATCGCTACCATGCTGGTTCTATGAAAAATCATAGAACTCCTCCGGCCACCTGCACTCACCAGTCGAAACGCAGAAGTAAACTTCTACTTCACGCTGGTATTATGTGAGGTTGTGGTACCACCCCGGTTCGAGCCCGCCCATCCGTGCGACAGCAAAAGCTGCCACGTGGCTCTACCACTGTTAAAAACAAGACCTGGAGTTGGAGACCCTCTGGTAATGGAGCAGTCTATGTTAATCCTCAGGGGTGAATAAGATAGACTGAAGAAGGACCTCAGAGTGCCACTAACTTAAAATCAGGACTTTATGCTTGTTTGTCATACGGTATGTCCAAATATCTTAACATCACACACTATAAACCCGTATTGCATTTCAGACGGTAACCTTATGATTTCGCATTACACTACTGAAAATAGGTCTCCACTATAGATTTTTATAGATAGTTGATATGCTTAGCTAAAAAAACTGCAGTAATAACTCGCAGGTTTTTTTTAGGTATTATTAGGAAGGAAGACGCTGCTGCCCAACTCCTGATTTTTTTTCTCTGTCGCCACTTACGATACCCACAGGTAGATATATGGGGTAGTGGTATTCTTACACCACCACTACACGGTACTGTATGGTGATGATTTCTTACGACATGGAACATAGGAATTCTATAATTGTTAGTAATTGAAATTCCAAGTAGTCTCCAACCCAGTTAATGTCGCAGTTAATAGTCCATGTAGCCTGCCTAAATCGCCCAAAATCCGTAACTGACTTAATTAGAAATCAAGCATCAAGACACTCACTACTTGGCACAGTCGATAAGTTGGTACTCGTTACTGCGTTCATATGTGCGTTGCACGCCCTGGTCTTTCCACAGATGTTCCGTATGCTCGTAGAACTCCGGCGGGTAGTCGAAGTCAGGTTGTGACGCCACGTCCTGCAATATGGAAGTGATTGATTAGAAATTTGCTACGTGATAGGGACCATTTTGAATCTATCTGGGTTGGTACAAGCCTCTTGTCTATTCAAGCAGGGAGTCCATTGCTTAAGGTCTGAAGGGTGAGAGAGCCAGATTAATTCCAGGCTGTTAGGCATTTCATCTTAGTCCTCAAATTGATGTAGGTATTCATGGATGCCAGATGCCATTTCCCAACAAGTCGACTGTTAGCTTGTTTTTTTTAGAATAAGGGTGACAAATGAGCACACAGTCCACCTGATGGTAAGTAGTTGCTGTGACCTATAGACATCTATATCTATCCTCGATTACGAATGAAAATGCATATGCTTTGTCATCCGTAAAGACTAAAATGGAATGCCTCATGGATATGAGTGATTCCATTTTAGACTGGATAGTAAAAGGGGTCTTGGGTTCTGTACACTCACCATACGAAACACAGCAGATTAAGCTGCTATTTTACGCTGGTATTCTGTGAGAGCGTGATCCTTCCCCAATCGAGCCGACCCATTGGTGCTACAACTATACTACTAGTATAGCTGCAGCGTGGCTCTACCTACCACGTAGTTGTGCTGATCAATCCAATATAAAATATAGTTAAATTAATAATAATTGTATATGAACACTCACCAAGACTCACTTAATACTATTTAAGGACCATACAAATACTTGATCTTTGAAGGAATTAAACTGCAACCCACTAGCTAAACACTTGATAGCAAATAACTAAATTTTTGGCAGTTGAGTATTTCAAAAATATTAAAAAGATCCACTAGGAACAATGGCTGTTACAAAAGAAGCAAAAATACTATCTCTAAAGACGTGAAGTACCAGTATATTATATGATATGTACCTGTATATAATCGACCCGCGCCTTGTTCTCCGGTTTCTCGAGAGGAATTGGCGGCGTCAGCGTGCTCATCGCTCCGGTGATTGTCTGTAACATTATCAATACCGTATTAATGACTGTCTCGCTGATCATGAGGTCCCGGGTTCGAATCCCGGGTCTAGCCAAAAAATCAGTTAGGGGGCGTTCAAGAATTACGTAACGCAATTTTTGACCCTTCCTCCCCATGAAACGCACCGTAACGGTTTTTTGTACCCCCTCCCCCTCCCTAAACGTTACGTAACACGAAAAGGGTTGCCAACGTGGGAAATGTTAACTCCCTAGCTTTTATATATGTATAAATAAAAAAAAACAATGTTACGTAAACCCCTCCCGCCCCTGTAACGCATCGACAGGTTTTACAAGACCAATCTCCGCCCAAATTGCGTTACGTAATACTTGAACGTCTCCTTATTGAGGTTTTCCATCAAGAAATTCTCAGTAGCAAATGGGTGTCAGGAAGTTGACAGTGTCTCACCCGCATGCTTCGTAAAGCACGTAAAGCCGTTGGTCCTGCGCCTGATTTCTCTCCAGTCGTGTCGGTTTACCGTCCCATCGGACTATGAGTGAGGGAATAATGTGCTTGCGCATACACTTGGGCACTATAATCCTGTCCTGCGCCGATTGCTTGTCTCTGTTGAGGCCAACCGCAGTGACCGAACATCGGTCTGGAGGAAATCACATTAATATTACCTAATCGTGTAATGGTGGGGTAAGGATATCCACCACCCCATATTAACCTGTGGGTGTCGTAAGAGGCGGCAGAGGACATCTGGATCAGGAGATGGGCAACAGCCTGACAATAGTTGAATAAAAATAATAAACTGCGGTTGACGAGCTGCTTCACAAGCATGGCAAATATCTCTCCTATTAGGCAATCTATGGGGGAGGTCTATGTTCAGCAGTGGATCTTTGATACAATGTAGTAATAATAATAATTTATATTACTAACACACCCACACTTTTATTGAATTTTTAATCAACTTCAAAAATAGAGTAGATTATTAATTTGACTGTTTTAATGTATGCAACACAATGACCCCAAGATTAGTTACCGATTTTTTTAATACTATTTTCATCAAACTAGTGCTTTGATATAGGACCCATATTGATATGATCTGACAATGAAACTATGCGAAGGACTATTCTTAGTGCCACCGTAACGAGACTGTTGCTTTACTTATCATCTTCATCAGCCGGTAATTTCACAAAAATAGTTGTAAAAATAATTTACAACAAATATAAGGGGACTTTACGCTCCGTGCATGGCACAGAACATTACTCAACCTTTATGTGACCAAACGTGTTGTAACCTCATATGTGGGTAATGGCTATTATCCAATATAATAGCAATTGTCTAACAGCCACCTACCATCCATTATCCACTACAGCCTATGAAAGTACACCGTTGAACGTAGGCCTTCCCCATAGATAGCTTTATGGGAGGGATTTTACTATAGTTGCCACGCTTGACAGATGGATTAAGAACGGTTTTTTAGCGGTTTTTTATAATTTTGAGTTGTATCAGAAACATGTTGCTGCCCATCTCCCGTTTCATTTTCCTCTGTTCTTCTCTTACGACACTTACTGGACGATATGGGCTATTGGATATTCTTACTCTGCCACAATATGGTTTACAGCCATCGTATCAGTATTTTGATATAAGTGATTTTCACAGAAACAATTCTCCACTCTCGTGCCGAAACCTTCTAGATAGAATAAGCTATAACCGATAGAACAGGCACCACAGTTGAACATATATTCAACAAGGATGATACGATCGCTGAACGCATTGTATAAGGATATGATATGTTGTTGTTACTTTAAATAAAACTAATTTTACGGATTTTATAGCGTTTAACTTTTTTAATTCCCGACGTTTCGGGTGCTTTACAGTACCCATGGTCACGGGGGTACTGAGGCGTTTGACGTTCCAATGTCAGTTAGTCTGGCTACATTCAGTTTTTGAATATTCATTTTGTTCCGATCGACGCAGAATGAGCCTACAGTATCTTGAAGCCTTGCAGTGGTAAGCTTGGGTTTGGATTTAATTTTATTAATTATAGGATCCCAAGCAAGATGGTAGCACCCATCCATCTTCTCTATTGAAATTAAAATGTTTTTTAATTTCAATTGTTGCTAGGAATCGGTGTTCTTTTGCGAGGATTTCTGGTCTATCAAATCTAACGTAATGGCAGGGTTGATCTTGAACATGTTCACAGACTGCAGGCTTCCCGGAACGCCATTGCTTCACGTCAGCTATATGTTCTATTACGCGGCCTTTTATAGATATTTTTGTTTGTAAAGTTGATTTCATTTAATGTGTAGTGTTCGCGTAAATATAAGAAATCACTGTTGATATTTTCTAGTGTGTATAGCAGTGACTGCGTGTTTTTTTGTAATGGATACTTTCATAGACGTTATAGATCCGCGACTATTATGATCGACTGTCTGTTTCTAAGGCTCGATATTTATAACTATATGCTGCAAAAGGCAAATACTCACAAGTATAGCGTCACGAATGTTTTTCTTGATATCCTCAATTTTCTCGCGACGCTCCTTGTCGGAGAAGCCGTTTACGTGCAAGATTCGCATCTGCTTGACGATGGTCGACTTGCCGGACTCACCGGCGCCGAGCAGCAGGAGCCGGTGAGTCGCGCGGTACAGCTGCAAGGTAGAAAAATTGTCATTTAATACATGTTATAAGTTTTTAAGAAGGGAACCAATGTGAAGCGCCATCATAACAAAAGCATAAATATGAAAATGGGGCCAAGTTCAGTACAACGTTTGGGGTTGTCGGATTTGCCTGTAAAAAGTGTTGAGAACATAGCAGCTTTAACCATTGAATCTATAGGAATTTTTACTGTTCTTAGAATTCAAGAATCTCTCTTTTCGTCGCTCAAAATACAATACGGGAAACACCTCAACTAGACAAGGGTCCACGCGTTGTACACCACTCTACTCTCACTTACATTTAGAAATACTATTAGTGTTTAAAAAAATTATTACCGTGAAACCTGGAAACGTTTCCGTTTTCGGAAAGACTTAAGTATAGTACCAGTTTTACAACAAAAGTGTACTATCAGACTGGGCGTCAATGTTAAATGTGACATTATACTCTTCATAGATTTGGTATTTATTCGTGATTTAAGCAAATATTGGGTCCTTACATATGAAATTAGCGGTTTGTCGTACTGACCACTTTGATCTGAAATATCTCCTCTTTGGTTAAGAATTCCAAATTCAAATTTAATATATATATACACACACACACATATATATACAGCTCGAAGGATTAATGATGTGTACGGCGCTGGTGTCGCAAAAGAAAGCACGGTATGTTTCTGGTTTCAACGTTTTCGTACTGGAAATTTCGACCTTCAGAACCAACCTCGTGGACGGCCGGAGACCATAGTGGAAAATGAAGAATTAAAGGCTATTGTGGAAGCGGATCCCTCACAAAGCACTTCAGAGATAGCTGCAGACTTACTGTACGGTAATCGGAAGCGCTCGTCGCAATGGCTGAACCCTGGAGAACCAGCCAAATCCTGCCCTAAACGAAAATTGACTCAGAAAAAGTTACTTGTGAGTGTTTGGTGGACTAGCGCCGGTGTCGTTCACTACAGCTTTCTAAAATCTGGCCAAACGATTACGGCAGATATCTATTGTCAGCAACTGCAAACCATGAAGGAAGAACTAGCTACTAAACAACCGAGATTGCTCAATCGCTCTAGGCCACTGCTGCTTCACGACAACGCAATACCACACACTGCACAAGAAACAACCACTAAGTTAGACGAGCTACAATTGGAATGTCTGCGACATCCACCGTACGGGGGACCTTGCTCCAATAGATTACCATTTTTTCCGGAATTTGAACAACGTCTTACAAGGAAAAAAATTCAAATCCGATGCAGCAGTCCAAACTGCTTTCAAAGAGTTTATTGATTCTCGCTCCCATGGTTTTTTTTTTAGTAAAGGGATCAATGAACTACCTATGAGATGGCAAAAGTGCATAGATAACAACGGTGCTTACTTTGATTAATTAAATATATTTTACAAAAAAAAAAAGACTTAATATTCATCCCGTACAAAACGCCAATTTCATATGTAAGGACCTAATACTAACATTAAAAAGACAAAATACTCAAAAATAGAAAATGGCAAAGTTAACCTCACTTTGTAGCAACTTTGCCATCAGGGTTTATAATGAAAATAATAGAATTTGACTTCAAGGTTGAAGGTAAGTTTACCTCATAATATAATATACAAAACTCCGGAGTTATGATTTACTCCTTTGTGTTGCAAATAGCAAAGTTTACGCTTGTGGGAAAGTTGCCCTCCCATTTTTAAATATTTCATACAAACTTGAAAATATGTGTCAGGGTTGTCAAAAATCCTTGATTACGTACTTTACTTAATTTTTGTTATTTAAATCTTGTCACAATAATTTCTTAAGCAAAAACTAAAAAATAAAAAGTTGTGCAATAATATGCTTAAATCAATTATAGTATAAATAAAAAAAGCTTGTCACAATCATTTTTAACAAGTATTCGTTTTTTTTTACTAGTTATCATCATCAATTTATTACGGGTCGTAATAAAATGATGTCAAGCAAAACAATATTTTTGTAATCAAGCTAAATATTGTTTTCCCACAATAGCAAAACATTCATAATCATTAAAAATGACAATGTTTTTTAGGTGGTGGAAAAATTCAAATTTTTCGACGACGATTTCTCTTGAATGAATGAACTGATTTTGATGTGGTTTGTGGCAATTGATGTTGGTTTTTGAGGTTAAGAGCTGATTAGATCTTGGAATCGATCGATACATAAGATCAAAAGTTATCTCTAAAATTTTTTTCTGTATATTTAATTTTTGATTTTTCACTAAAAACCGAGCTGAATTAGTTCAAGTTTACATGAAATGTAATGGCAATAGAACTCTTACGAATGTCGTGAACCGCGTTTCGATCGGTCAAACTGTTATGCAGTTATGCCACCAGTTATGCAGAGTTTATACACACACATACTCACTCACTCACTCACTCACACACACACACACACACACACGCACGCACGCACGCACGCACGCACGCACGCAATAAGCACGCACGCACGCACGCACGCACGCACGCACGCACGCACGCACGCACGCACGCACGCACGCACGCACGCACGCACGCACGCACGCACGCACGCACGCACGCACGCTCGCACGCTCGCACGCTTTCTCGTACGCAAGCATGAACGCACGAACGCACGCAGCCAATAACTTCCCGATTTTCTGAAAATTATTGATTTTCATAGCGGGAAGTTAAAAATACATATATACAAACATACATACGAGTACATAGAATGTCAAGTACAGAAGCCTTTCTTTAAATAGTCGTAATCGGTTTAAAATATAGAATGAAAGAGTTGGTTGTAGCAAAACATGGCAAAGTAACCGTTGTGGCGTCACTAGTATGGTAACTTTGCCAGTTTAGTCTTATAGATAAATAAGACCAACATGTTAAAAACGATATATTACATTTGATAACTATTAATATTACGTTACTGCAAAGATATAAATACCTACATTCAGTATTTCAAACAAAATTAACAAAAGTTCTAGAGCACTGAAAAAAGAGGTTATTTCGCCGGCACAATTCTGAGTTAAAATAAAATACCAAAATTAACTCTTATGTTGCCATATCGAAAGCAATGCTGTCAATTAGTTATTGTATTTTCATCTAAAACATGGCATATCTTGAAAAACGTTACGTTTTCCGTGTTAATCGTAATTTTGTACCAATACACCCTTGATGGTAAAGTTAACTTTCATTGGTAAAGTTGCCAGACATGACTGTAGCTGTGTTGATCCTAGTAAAAATTCTAGGTCGAGAATAACTGGTTCGCTGGCCACGTGGTCGTAAGCGCGACTGCTAATCATGTGCTCCCAGGTTCAAATGCCGGGTCGAGCCAAAATCAGTTATTGGGTTTTTCTATTAAGAAATTTTTCAGTAGCAGCCTAGAGTCAGTAATTTGGAGGTTTTCACCCCGTAAAACCCTTGGTTATGTGATCACCTGACCTCTCTGCGGTCATGTCAGATTTCCATTCGATTGGACTGTGAGAGTGAGGGAGTAGAGGGTGCACCCGTGTCTGTCTGTGCACATACTTGTGCACTGTAATCCTGTCCTGCACATATGGCTAATTTGCATTGCAACTCGCCGCCATGACGGAATTTATGTCTGAAGAAATGTGTTCGTGGATCATGGCATGAATTAATTGTATTGTCATCGGTTCCTAATATGTCTGCACTGCACTAACACAGATCCATTCAATTCTAAAAATCAAATCTACCCACATTATTTACTTCAGTTCAGACTAGTTCATTGTGTGAAGTTCGAAACGTGTGCGATAATTAGTTGTGATTTTATAAATTTATTAACAAAGTAATCGGACATAATTTCCGCGAATGGAGCAAATCGAGCAGCGTGCCGTCATTAAGTACCTCCATAAGAACGGGCTATCATCAAAAGCCATCCATGATGACATGGTCAGTACATTAGGCGATTGTGCTCTGTCATATTCATCCGTCAAAAAATGGATAGCAGAATTTAAGCGTGGTAGAGAGAGTGTGAAAGATGAACCCCGCTCTGGAAGGCCTTCGACGTCAACTACTGACGAAAATATTAAAAAAGTACTTGATTTAATAATGGGAGACCGCAGATTAAAAATTAGAGAGATAGCCGAGATTATAGGCATCTCTTATGAACGAACTCAAAACATCATTGTCAACGAGTTGGGTTTCCACAAGGTGTCTGCGAGGTGGGTTCCGCGACTGCCTTCAGTTGAACAAAAAAGGACGCGATTGACTATTTCACGCGACTGTTTGGAGTTATTTGAAGCCGATGCAGATGATTTTTTGAATCGTTTTGTTACTATGGACGAAACATGGGTTCATTACTGTACACCGGAAACAAAACAACAATCAAAACAGTGGAGAAGACCTGGTTCACCACCCCCTAAAAAGGCTAAGTCGATTTTGTCGGCAAATAAGGTGATGGCTTCAGTATTCTGGGACTCGAAAGGTGTGATTATGATTGATTATCTTGAAAGGGGTCAGAATATAAACTCTGATTACTACTGCACCTTACTACGTCGTTTACAAGAGGAAATAAAAGAAAACGTCGAGGAATGCTCAGAAGAAAAGTCCTGTTTCATCAAGATAACGCCCGTGTTCACACGTCAGTACAGTCAATGGCTGAAATTCACAACTGTGGCTTTGAACTGTTACCGCATCCGCCGTAACAGTTCAAAGCCACACCTGACCTGGCACCATCAGACTTCTTTCTGTTCCCTAACCTAAAAAAGCACTTGGGAGGTCAAAGATTTTCGACAAACGACGAGGTCAAAGCAGCTGTAGACGCATATTTTGACTCTAAGGAAGAATCATTTTTTTTCAACGGTCTAAATGCTTGGAAGGGGAGGTGGCAAAAGTGTATTGAACTTGATGGTGGTTATGTAGAAAAATAAAAATATAACTGATTTAGTATGTGTTTATTTTCTTGGTTAGGCCGAGTACTTTTCAATCCACCCTCGTACTACCTCTTAGGCAGAAAGGCAGTCCGTTAGCCAGAAATTTTACCGTTTTTATAGTGCTTATCTTTACCTTATTTTTAAATCCAGACGTTTCGGTAATTACAACACCCACAGTCACTAGGGTCTGGGTGTTTGACGACCTGATTAACCCGGGCACTTTCAGCTATTAATCATTAATTTTTAGTCCGATCTCGATCGAAACGTCGGGAATCAAATATAAATAAAAATCAAACGCGACAAAACTAGTTTCATTCAATTTCTCTACTACCGTTTGAAAATGAAGTTCTTCTGACCGGAGAGGAAATGGAAAAAAAAAATATAATAAAACTATTTGTTCTTCAGTAGCTCAGTTTATTTTCGTCACCTTGTACTATTAAGTATTCTATGTTTTCGTCAACATACACTGCACTACACCAGGTATTACGTTTATATAGTCAGTGAGTTTTGGCGGGAACTTTACCGGCGGCGGATTGCCACTCTTTTATTATTGTTTAAATAGTGGATTTTGATATTTAAAATTTAAAAGTGGTGCGATTTTTAAGTTTCTGCGCATGTGAACTATTAGTGGAAACGGTGAAACAAGTGCTCTGATGGTGATGTGATTCTCAAAATAAGGTGTCTATCTGCTTGGGCGCCTTGAGATACCATCGCCTACTGGCAGCTGTCTGCTGGCTCAAGTTACCTTCCAAATCTCCCAAGGGCTGCACAATGTGACGCATCAACCTATTGAAGGATAATTATACATTGTAACTTCAGCCTTAGAAGGGCCAGAACCCTGAGCCGTAAAGCCAGTTATAAAAAAAACCCATAGTCAGTATTTACACATCGTTTGGATATAAAAGTAAGAATGATGTTTATATACCTGCTTGTCCTTCTGCAACTGCCTTGTGATGGCATCGCTGCGGCGCTTCTGCGACTTGAGGTCTTCGCCCTCACTGCTCTTGTCGCCCGGGGATCCGAAGCACCCCATCGCCGACAACGTCGCCCACCTGACGAAGTAAACATGGATTATTATCATCTGTCTGTTACTTTCCAAAATTTGATAAAATAAATGGTATTTCAATATACTAGAGCAGCGATTCCTAAAATTGGTTTCGCGGAACCTAGGGGTTCCGTAGAAAAGTCACCAGGACAACTGTCAGACGAAACCGAACTATAAAGCAATTATTGATAAAACAGTAAAGCAATATCATTATTGTTTTACTTTTACAATATTTCAAATAAACGTTTTTGTTCTTATTTAAATTACAGTGCCTTCCGATTTGTAATAATTTGATATGGGGTTCCATAAAATGAAAAGCTTTTTGGTTGGTGTTCCGTTACCTTAAAAGTGTAGGAACCCCTGGACTGTGTCAAATAGTAAATTTTTTATAGAATAAGGGTGACATACGAGCAAACAGTCCACCTGGTTGATGTAAGTGGATACTGTGGCCCATAGACATCTACAATTATTCTTGATTAAGAATCAAAATGCAGATGCGTTGTCATCCCTGAGAACTAGGATGGAATGCCACTTTTCAAGTAAAAAGGTCCTCCGGTTCTCTACTCACCATACGAGACACATCAGCATTAAGCTGCTATTTTAAGCTGGTATTCTGTGAGAGCATGATCCTAACCCGGTCGAGCCGACCCATTCATATTACATACTACAACCACAATGTAGCTGAAGCGTGGCTCTACAACGTAAAATGTTAAACAAGAAATTATTGAATTTCCTGAACTAACTCAACGTGTCAACGCATATAGTCGTTATGCATATTGTAAGTACTTTAAGTGTATAAAAAAAATAGTAAATACTCTGCAGTGTAGAAACCCTGTGTAGGGCAATTCTATCCGTTATTATGCCGTGCAATAATGCAGTGAATATGCTAATGGCCCATTATCTACCGCCGGCCTTAGTCGACGCCGTAACTTCTTATGTTGAGTCATTTTGGTGTCATATTCGATCTTTAATGACGTAAGATAAATCCAAAAGGATGCTTGAAATATGAAATAAAAAATTCGACGAAGAGATAAAGCAAGAAAAACACGAGCATAAAACACTTTGCCGTAAGTGGGGACTGTATTAAGCCAACTGTCTTCAAACAGTGACCCATAGACATCTACGTCTATCCTCAATAAAGACTTAAGATGCAGATGCGTTGTCACCCGTGAGGACCAAGATGGGATGCCTCTTTGCCAGTAAAAAGGGTCTCCGGTTCTCCACACTCACCATACGAAACACAGCAGCGTTAAGCTGCTATTTTACGCTGGTTTTCTGTGAGAGCGTGGTCCTTCCCCGGTCGAGCCGACCCATTCGTGCTACAACTATACTACTAATATAGCTGCAGTATGGCTCTACCACGTAAAAAGTCTAATTAAAGTCCTAGTAACAAAAAGATTACAGGCGATTGGACTTCCTTCGTGAGAAAGAATTTCCTTCGTCGCGGCATTTATAATATCTCTATAATTGCCTGACTCCGGGTTGATACTAAATCAGTTATGGGATTTTTCTATCAAACAATTCTTACACATAAATCCAATATATGATTTTGGCCCGACTCGGGATTCAAGTCCGGGACCTCATTATCAGCAGTTGCGTCTACGTCTACGAACATTCGGCAAACGGGGCAGTAAAAACATCGTTTTTTCATAAGACTATGCGTAGGCATACAAAATTCAGTGCAAAATCACGTCAATGAAATGTTTGGAGATATGGAAGAAACGGTAAAGTCCCGAAATCTGGCGGCACGGCAGTGCCCCCGCCAAGTCGAGTAAAAAAGCGGCACGGCCGTACCATCCTTTTCTCGAAGCAGTTCAGGACATTTTCGACCCCCTATAACTTCGTTGTGGATTAAACTAGAAGTCTGAATTTTCAGTAACCAAGCATGCATTGTATAAACATGGTATATTTCAAATTTCATTCCATTTGAACCAGTAGTTTGAGAATTATAACTAGTCAAAGTTTCTTAATTTTGTCACTGACCGATCATCAAAACTCTAAGGCACTTCTAGCAGACGTAGAAGCTTCACATTTAGAATACAATTAGTGTTTAGTGTATAGGAAAAACTAAAATATTTTGTAATTTCGGTCCAGTTTTCTAAATTCATCAACTAAATAAATAACTTTGTAATCCTATATAAATGAATAGGATTACAAAGTTACATTTGGAGTGAAATTTAATATTTTTTATTTTATTTTAATTTAATTTTGTGCATAAATATTATTCGTAATCAGTAATAATTTTAGTAGTGATAAAAGACATCTTACATCATTCGCCTAAAGGTAATTTAGTTATAGTTATTATTAACTATAGGAATAAAATATAATTTAAAGGTATTTGACAAACAGGTAATACAATTGTTAAATTTGCATCATTTAATGATTTGTCTTTGCCTTTTCGTGTTCTTGTTTAAATTATTATTCATGTTTTTTTTTCTCGGATTTATAATTACATCAGAAAGACAGGCATAGTAAATCAAAAATTGTTTGTTTATAAAACCATAATTGAACAGTATTGTGTTTTAAAAGATGAATGCATTTTCCTGTGGCAGAATGCCCTATAATATCAAAAATAAAGTGAAAAAAAAAACCTCTGGATCATTATTTTGGCCAGTTTGTGCATTGAATCATTTCTGCATAACACAATCCAATTAATATAACGAAATTTCACACGTTGCCGTGGTAGCTCACGTGCTTTACGTGCTCGGCGGTGAAGGAAAACATCTTGATCCTGCTTATTCGAGAAGTAGGATATTTAAGGACTTCCATCTCCACCAACATAACTTTAGGGACGCTTCCCTTCGGCGGGATCTTTTTTGCTCCACTATTGCCCCAAAACTCTAAAGGGTTCAGGCCTCCTACGCCTATAATTAAAGAAATATAAGGAATAAAGTGAAAATATAGTCGTATGAGGCCAGTGTGGTGTTTGTATGTGTGGCTTTTATAAAGTATTAACTTACATACGTGCCACTTCTGGGGCTGGGTCGTTTTATTAATTGTTAATTTTTTACTATGTATTGTCGAATACATTAGTTTTAAAACCTATTCGATTTTAAACGCGACTGAAACCGCGGTTCAGTAACTATCATTGTCGCATTTTTACGCTCATAGAAACGCAAACGTGGAAGATTTACGTAATCGCGTTATAGAAAACCACACATTTAACATAACAAAATGCCCATGGCGCTTGGCCGCTTGTGATTCCGGCATGCGACGCGTTCAACAATATGCCACGAAGGTACACGTAATAATATGTGCTGAATTGCTTAGTGACTTGCACGGGAAAGTCAGCTCTCACTTTACTGTTGCTTGTATATTTTATAATGTCTTGTAACAAGAATTGTCATTTTGCCTACATGATTAAGGACAAACAACTCATAGGAAAAATATACCACAATAATACCAAAAAGCCGCGGTAGTTTAGGGGCTAAGCTCTCGCTGTAATTTTCACGTTACGCGAGCAACCCGGGTTTGATCCCCGCCGGCACCTATGAAATTATTGGTTGCAATTTTAAATGCTGATTTACCACGTGCTCGGCTCGGAGGATGGTTAAGAATTTCTATGTTTTCCTGCTTCTAATACTCAATCGTTTGACCGGCGCTGTGTGAGCTTGCGTTTGTCATGGTGTAGGATGATGCGTCACTTTGGCTTTGATTTCCGAAGTACGACGATGACTTGTGGTAAACAAACTGTGGTATACCACTCTGCATTAACCGTTCTACGATCTTCAAGTGCCATCATCGCAACATGGCTAGTTTTCGCAATAAACGTAGCCACCATTTTCTTTGAAGTGCTTTGAGAGCGAACCACTTTAATCGGCCAGGACTCGTCTTGGAAGAGCCAAATTGTAGATTATTGTTTAGAATCGGGATCGTAGGCATAGATCCAAGATTCGTCACCACTGATGATGTCGTAGACGTGATTAGTGTCTTCTCGGTTGAACCTTTGAAGAGTTTTCTTACACCGTCTGATGCGGGTCGTCTTATGATAGTCTGAAAGAAAATGTGGGATCCAACGGCAATTTAGCTTCTTAGATCAAGCGCTTCATGCAAGATCTTTTAAATGGTTGTCCCTGAGATGCCTAATAACGCCTCTATCTCTCGATATGTCACATGACGATCTTCGAGAATTAGTTTTCTCACAGAAACGATGTTATCTTTCGTGAAGCTGGATTTTGGACGTAATTCACGAGATTTGTCACTAAGATTGATATTTCCACGCTGGAATTCTAAATACCAGTGTTCGACTGTTCTTAAACATGGGGCTTCACCATGGAACACAGAAGTTAGCTCTTTGGAACACTGAAGCCGTGTTAGACCTCTTCGAAAGTTGTAGAAAATTATTGCACGGATATTTCCCTTAGTAAGATTATTTTCATAAGTGACCCTACAGATTCAAAACGACTCTGTGACTGAACAATAGCTTTAATCCTCATACTTTCAATTGTTTTGAGATTCTGACTTTAAACAAATTTGAATATTGAACAATGGCCTCCGAAAACCCTCACTGAGGCCTATGCCCAGCAGTGGGACGCATATAGGCTGTAACTTTAGGGTTGAATAAAATCACGGAACCTTCAGCTACCCTCATCCGGATTTCCTGTTAAATTTTTTCGATTGTTTACACTAATTGGCTTTACGCGTTTTGATCGAGCTCGCAAATAGACATAATGAAACAAATTAATGAAGCAAAAACAGATCGAGGGTCGAGTTATAAGATAAATGGCACACCAAATCCCCCGATGCTCGTCTGCTGTGCAAAAACGACAACTTTTTATTTGTTATTTCTATCGGACCGAAACGACTGTTTGTCTGCCGAGTTTAATCCCCAGTTGTTTGGAGTTTCACTTACTACAAGTTGGAGTTGAATTTGTCTGGGTGTGTTCCAGTACTATACCAGTGAAATATACTGTCAATACTAGACTTGCACCGAATAGTATATTAGGTCACACGCCGAATACCAAATATTCTGCGGACGTCGTGGACGAATAGCCTAATACTAGGCAA